AGACAACAGCACCGTAAGTGATTATTGGTCTTATGACTGTCCTGTATAGCCATAAAGTAATTTTGGGTGATAGTCCCCAGCTTTTGCCGAGTAGCCGCTTGCATTGGCAGAAAATAATGCAGGCTTTATTCAGTTTTTCATCGAGGTGCTTATTCCACAGGAGTTTACTGTCCAGTATTACTCCTAGGTATTTGACCTCTTTGGTAAGAGTAAGTTGTGTTCCAAATAGCTTGGGAAGTCTGAGATTTCCTAGGCTGCGTTGTTTGTGAACATGATCATCTCTGTTTGGATGGGTTCACTGTCAGGTTGTGTGCTGCGCACCATTGTTCCACGATCTTCAGTGCAAGTCTCATTTGATCGCATGTAATGCTCTCAAAAGGACCGCTGATGAGAATGGTAAGATCGTCTGCATAGCCTATTGTGAGGAATCTTTGGTCATTGAGTTGTGCGATGAGCTCGTCCACAACAATGTTCCATAGAAGGGGGGAGAGTACACCGCCCTGGGGGCAACCTCTAGCCACCACTCCTCTAGTCACTTCGCTCACAGTGAATTGTATAGCTCTATATCTAAGAATGTTGTCGATCCACCCTGAGATTGTGGAATCAACACCATGCCTAGAAAGAGCTTGGCTAATGCTGGTGAAGTTGGTCTTATCAAAGGCTCCCTCGATATCGATAAAGGTGGCCAGTGTTGACCTTTTGTGATTTAGATTGTCTTCTATATATGAAACAACTCGATGTAGGGCAGATTCTGTTGATTTACCCATCGAGTATGCGTGTTGATTGAGGTGTAGAGGGTGACTGACTAACGCAGTTTCCCTGATTTCCCTATCTATTAGCCTCTCAAGAACCTTTAGTAGGAAAGATGTGAGACTAATAGGTCGGTGTGATTTGGGTTGTGTGTAGTCACCTTTACCAGGTTTGGGGATGAAGACTACTTTAACTTCTCTCCATTTCAAGGGGATGTACTGATGCGCCAGGCAGCCCCTATAGATTTTTATAAGATGGTCCAGTAATGTCGTATCAGACCATCTCAGTAGGCCTGGGAAGACACCATCTAGTCCTGGGGCCTTGAATGGTAGGAAGCTGTTAATTGCCCATCTTAGTTTGTCATGGGTGACAACTTTGCGGGCCGTATCCCAGTCTGTATCATCTGGTGGTTTTTCCCATCTGTCTTCCCATTTTTCCATCACATCTGATATGCGACATCCAGGGAAGTGTGTTTTTAATAACAGCTCTGAGGCTTCCGAGTCTGTTTTGGTATACTCACCATCAGGCTTCTTCAGTGAGCCAAGATTGTGTTCGCCTTTACTACACAGTATGCTTTTGACTCTATTGGCCTGGTTGTTGTTCTCTATGTTAGTACAGAAGTTTCTCCAGCACTCAGTTTTCCTGGTTCTGATTCTCTTCTTATATTGTTGTCGGGCCTGCGTGTAGGCATCCCAATGTTGGTCTAATCGCGAGTTTTTTGCTTTATTGAACAACTTTCTCACTTTACGACGTAGTCTTTCCAGTTCCGGACCCCACCATTGGTGTTTGTTCTGTGGTCCAGTTCTGGGTGTGGAAAGTGGGCATGTTTGTTCAAAGCAATCGATCAGTGTCTGTGTAAGGTTGACAACATGACTGTCAATGTCCTTAACAGTCCCCGTAGCGTATGTTGGGTTGATGCTTCGCAGATTCTCCGCAGTAAGATGTTCATACCGTTTCCGGTCCATCGTGCGGGGATTCCGTCGGGGATCGGGTAGTTTAAGTTTCATTTCAAAGTTAAATTTGATCCAGCGATGGTCTGAGCACGATGCTTCGTTCGAAACATGCCAGTTCGATATGTGTCGCGATGCGTGCTCACTTGCTAATGTAAGATCAATTATAGTTTGGGCCCTGGACGTGACAAATGTCGGCTCCGAGCCCACGTTGATAATGTTAAGGTTGGTTGATAATAGGAACGATACAAATTCCTCACCTCTCCGGTTGTTGCTCCTGCTGCCCCACAGCGCATGGTGCGCGTTGGTGTCGGCAGAGATGATCAGCTCCAGACCCTCGCGCTCGCAGTGGTGTGCCAGCGCAGCCAGCTCCGGAGTGGGGATGTCAGCATCGCCCGGCAAGTAGGCTGATGCTATCACCACGTCAGGCAGGTTTGATGAGGGTTCCTTTAACCTAACAGAGGTAAGGTCTCTGGAACAGAACTCGGTCATTAAGGTAGTACACGCATGTTTTGGTGTATAAATACAAGTGCGCGGGTTATCAATGGTAGTGTTGAGAAGTATCTTACCTCCAATATTATTTAGACCGCAGATCCTGCCCTTCCTAATCCACGGCTCCTGGATTAGGGCTACGGTGTTGGTTTTTACCTCCAGCTCTCTGCGTAGGGTAGCCGTTGCTGTATGGCTGTGCTGGAGGTTGGTTTGGATGGCTATAAGGGTGTTATGGGGGGGTGCAGACAGCGCCATCATCGCTGTTCAGCATATCCTCTATGTCGTCGAGGTCACTCTCGCCCACCGGTAGGTCCTCCAACTCCTCAGGAGGTGGACCCCGGCAGGCTGTCTCCTCAACGGGTCTCAGAGGATCCCCTCCATTGCCGTCCTTAGGGTGTTGTAGGGCCGATTCTCCTCCTCCCTCGAATGGCTCCTCGTTTGGGTTAGTTGGTGGGGCGGGACGTTCATCAAGGAAGCGAACGTAGAGGTTACCCAGTTTGTAGTATACTCTACGCTCGCTAGCCTTGAGCTTCACGACGTCCTCTTCTGGGATACCGAGCACTAGGAAGAGACATTTCTTTTCCTCCTGCGCCTCGGCATGGTAGAGGGCCCAGTTGGCCACATTGTACTGGCTATTCTGGTACTTTAGCCTCGTTTGAATACGGACCAGTGTATCATCTGGTCCGATTTGTGGTACCAGGAGTCCAGCCTTGATCCTTTTCGGGATCTCAGACTGCCTCCTGACGACCAGTTTGGTGCCTTCACGTGGTGGTGGGATCCTTACCAGGGATCGGCGAAGCCACTGTAGGGCATATTCGTCGTTGCACCACATCTTAAGGGCGCCCTCACTGTAGAAGGCCTTGCCCCTAAACTGTGGCGCAGCGACGGGTGCGCTTGACGTGCCGGGCGAGAAGATCTCCTCATCTAGCACGCCCTGCAGCTGGCCCTCGATGTCCTCTGCCTGTGCCTTGGTGAGGTCGTGGTAAGGCTCCAGCATGACCGCGACGCAAAGGTCATTCGCCTTTAGTGCGTCGGAGTAACTCGTGGAGCCGGTCTTTGGCAGCGGTTTGAATCGCTTGCCACTGCCCTGGGGAGTGCGAGACTCGTCCGGGCGAGTTCTTTTGACGGGCTTTGTATCACTTGAAGGTTTCCCTCCACGTGTCGCTCGTCTCGCCCGTTTACCCTGTCCAGGTTGACCCTGCCTAGAGGGTACTTTGGCAGCTACAGGCGTCTTGGCAGGTGGCGCCCCCACAGGAGTACACTTCCCCGTGGCTTGACTTTCGTCTTCGCCTCGGGGCAGCACGTCACTGGCGGGGGCGACGTGGGCCCCTTCGGGCCCTTCAGCGACTTCAAGCCGCTTACTTCCACCCGAGTTCAGACACCGTGCTTGCCTTTCCACTCGGGCTTTCGCCCTGTTGGCGTTACGGGTCTTCTTGGACGGGTTTGGTTTTTTCGACGCTCTCTTCTTTGTCCTTACCAGGCTCCAGCCGGTTTCTTCCAGGCCGGGTCCCGCAGGTACGGGCATTGCTGCCCTCAAAGAGGAGAGGTCGATGGTCGACACTGGCTCCGTATTCTGGTTAGACACCAGAGGTGTCGCCAGAGTCGTGGATGGCGCTGCGGTCGGGTTGTTTGCCTGATCAGCAGCCAATGGTGTATTTGCCGGATTCACCCTTGGGTTGTTCACCCTGGGGTCAGGCGATTGGTGGTTTAGCCTGGCACTTGGGTTGTTCACCCTCGGTAAAGGCTTGGTGGTTTTTTTATTAATTGGTTTTTTAGTATCCATAGTTGTTTTGGTATACTATTCATCTCCTTGTCCTTCCACCCTCCTTGGAGCCCTCAAGTGGGGACGCCGCGGCAGAAGGCACACGACGCCAGAAGTGACAAGGAAATATAGAGCTCCCTCCCTGGCAGAAGGCAGGCCGAACTAGGTAGGAAGACTTGGTCGTCCCACCCGTCGTCCACCCCCACCAAGGAAGAGCTCTCGCTCAGCAGCCCTCTGACGGGATACTACAGCCGATTGACCAAAGGTGGCTAGCCTTCAGCCTCCCGTGTAAAGAGAAATCCAGGCCAAAGCAGTGTGTTGCCTTTCAGCTCAACTACCAGGATCCCTTCATCCTCCCTTACGGGTCCCCGCACACGGCACAAACATGCGGGTGGTTGCCCCCCCTCCCCCTCACTCTCAGTCTTTGTTGATAGTGAGGCCGCAGGCACCAACCACTTAGTGTCCGCAGTAGGTGTAGATGGGATAGAAAATGGGAAGGGATAGGTTTTGTGGGATGGAATTGCGTCTGGGTGTTTCTGTTATATCTGTTTCGTAGGGAATCAGACCTAAAACAGGCGGCAACCACGGGAAGGATGACACCCAGACTTGCCATGGGGATCTACACGACTGTTGCGCTCTCCCCCATGACCATTCGCCGTGTACGCCCTCCGGACAGGAGGGCGTACCAGGATTGGATCTGCTCCAGGCGATCTTGGCCTATTGGAGCACACCCAACCCCGCCCAAGTTTAAAGTTTAAATAAATAAATGAACCGTTCCGTGTGGTGACGGATTAAGAATACAGAGTGTCACCACCCCTATCCATCCCGTGGGTGTCGTAAAAGGCGACTAAGGGAGCAAACTACGCAGGACAACAGCACTGCAAAGAGAAGGAAAACTTGAAACAAACCCTATACCAACCCGTCTGGCCAGCGTGGTGTAGTAGGCTAAAACCTCCTTTCTAAGGAGAGGCCTATGTCCAGCAGTGGACTAGTAAAGGCTGTCGATGAAATAAATGAACATAGTGTTTACTGTTTGTGTCCGACAGACTGTTCCAACGCACAGTGACGGGGGTGTTCAACTCGATCAAGACGGCGGTTGGTGCTGAAGGGGGGGAGGGCGAAGAGCCTCCGAAGACCTTGCACGACTGGACCTATGTCTGCACCAGCATCGAGCTCAGTGTCAGTATCCATAAATTATAAATGTTAATAGTGAAAGTAAGTTTGTTTGTTACGCTTTCACGCTTAAAACGATTTTACAAATTGTTTCATCAATGGAAAACAACATATTACCGCCATAACCGACACATGCGGGCAGATCCGCTGGCAAAAGCTAGTAAATGTTATAAAGACGTTACTTGGTATTTAAAATACATAAAATAACAGCTTTCCTAACAAAAAAACGAGTCAAATAGTCGCCATATTGTCTTTTTTCTTCAAAAATAATTATAACTAGTGTCACTTGGGATGATGTAAGGATTCTAACGTATATGTGCTAACATCAAAATTTGTTCAGGCATTTGAGAAATTGTGGGGGATTAAAAAACTCACATGTAAACGTGTACTTGTCTTCTTTTTTGAGCAGTCGTGTAAATATGGCTAACATTTTCATAAAACGTTTAAAGAAGTTTTAAAATGATATTACTGATTATTAGGGTTCCGTACCTCAAAAGGTAAAAAAGGAACCCTTATGTGGCGACTCCCACATACAAAGAAACAGAAACATACTACAGCGCCATCTAATGAAGACACACCGAACTACGGAGTAACTACTAAAATAAGAATTGCTAATCCTGTATCGCGATATAAAGAATTCCCTCGCCGATTAGCATATATACAACTGCCCAACATCAACCGAAATAAAGGAATAATTCCAAAAAATAAAAAAGTTGAAAATTAAGACAAATTTTGGTACTTACAAATTTTCGCGAAAATCTACGTAAAATCTGATTAGGTACGGAACCCTCGGCGCACGAGTTTGATTCGTACCTGACCGGTTTTTTTATTAGGTGACTTGACTTAATCTTAAATTAGTTCAAAGTATGGGAATCAACTGTGAAGTCAAATAATTTTCTCTTTCAACGTCAAAATAGTAAGAGAACGGACGAGAGACGCCGAGAGACGAACGTAGCCGAAATGCGAATGCTGAGATGGATGTGTGGTGTGACTCAGATGGACAAGGTTAGGAATGAGTATATACGAGGGAGTCTAAAAGTAGCGCCACTGGATGAAAAGTTAAGAAGTAATAGGTTATCTTGGTATGGACATGTCATGCGGAGGGATGAGGAAAATGTGGCGAAGAAAGTTTTTAGGTATGAGAGTTGAAGGGTACAAGAGAAGAGGCAGACCGAAGAAGAGGTGGATGGACTGCGTGAGGGAGGATATGGCTAGGAAGGGAGTAAACAGTGAGATGATGCATGATGGAGTAGAATGGAAATATCATACATACTGCGCCGATCCCAAATAAAATTGGGAAAAGGGTAGGCAGATGATGAACGTCAAAATAGTAAGTTTGTACGAAATAACGACTATGACGTCATAACTACTATTAATTATTAAAACGTTTAGTTTTAATCCTCCGGTTGTAGTTAAACAATTAAAACAATCGTTCTGAAAACGGATAGGTCTGATCTTAGTATCATAGATGACTTAGGCTGAAGATATTTAATAAAAAGCTGCTATTTAAACGGTGTGAGGGGTCCATGGACGAAGTTCTATTCGCTTATTGGTACACGTTTGTTATACAGTCTTTATAATTTATATTTTAAGAAATTAAGTTAATGGAGTTAAATTGAATTTTTATGATAAAATATTTTTATTAAATATAAAATAAATAATGATAAATTAATTACTGAACGATTTGGGACAAGAAGTGTTGGAAAAAAGTCTCGTTACATAGATCTTTAGCTATAGTTTAAATTGCACGGCCAGGTGGGTGGCGCGGTGTCGCGGCTGGTGGGCGCGCGCCGCGCCTGCGCGCACGTCGAGGCGGCGCAAGACTCGCTCCACCACCTGCGCGCGCGCACCGCCCCCCTCACCCCCGCCCCCGCGCCTGAAGACTTCGGTGAGACGCTGCTTACGGCATACTAACCTCACACACCTCACACACTGCTCCCGAACTAGGCAGAGCCCGTACTATGGTAACAGGACTGCTGATAAACATACTTATATATTTATAAAATACATCCAGACACGAAACAAATAAAAAGAATATCATTAACTGCTTTTTCTCACGATATCTGAGATACCTAGCCACCTTTTAAGAGACCTAGTCTCCTTACTTTTACTACACTTTTTTACACATGACAAAGGAGAGGATAAACGAGCAGACGAACCATCAGAAACCCAAGTATGAGTTCATTTCACATCTAATCGATCATCACGATGACTACGATTGGCTCACACTCAAATCTCAACCAATCGCAACGCCAAACGCATTCGCTGTAGAAAATGAATTAATATAAAATCAACTCGCATTTAACCCTTAACGTTAAATATCTACTGCAGCCCATCGATACCTGCACTCAAAAAACCTTTTAATTATTTTCAATTCTATCATTGCCTTCCTAAAATGTCCACTTAAAGCGATGCTACCTACTCTTTGGGGATGTAACCGAAAATATTAAAATATATCCTAACAAATGTTATACCTGAGTGTTTTATACAGTAAATCAGCCGAAATGATACAATATCTTTTAATCCTATCTCACACAATGTAAATTTTGGAAATTTAAAGCCCTGGTCACTAGGCATCATCACCTAAAGATACATCACACCATATTAACGTAAATATTCGGAGGTACTACACTTCTTTCTTTTGGCAAAACCTTACGTTATATAAACAATTCAGGCCCGGGGGTCGCAGAACAACCTCCGTCCTCCATAAGCGCAGGCTTGGAGGTGACAGGTGAAGCCATCTGTCACCTTAGTAGAAGCAGGCCGGGGTGGCGAGGCCCTTCCGGGAGTACAGAGGGAACATGGTTGTTCCCACACAGGGGGGATCATCTACCCGCCGTAGATGGCCCGAGGTACGTCGCGGCACCAGGGATTTCCTTTCTAGGGTACACCTGGTTCCCCGATACTGGTACCTAAGACGGCGTGCGGTTTTAGTCGGTTCGAGTCCGACATTGCCACCGGTAAGTGGTATCCCAGGGGATTTCCGCACAAAAGAAAGGTAGTTTTATATTGATTTTGATAATTATTTTATTAGGTGCTGTAGACTTTAATATTAAATTAGTTCAATTGATTGTTAAGTCAATTTTTTTCTCTTAATTAAACACCAAAACAGTAAGTTTGTAATCTCATTGAAATGAGATCGGGAAGTGTCGTCACGCTCACTACCACGCTGTGTGTTGTGGGTCCGATCCCCACATGGGACGACACTTTGTGTGATCCACAAATTGTTATTCTGAGTCTGGGTGTTCTTTGTGTCCGTTTCATGTATGTTTGTAAAGACCCAACGCAGGATATATTTCTAATGCGATAGTTGTCTTTAAAAGAAAGGGTATCATCACCTAACCTCATCGAGTATTTAGTTAACTCATCAGACGCGGTACTTTTAAATTTTAATCAATACATAGGAGTTTGACATATAAGCTCGAAGCCATGTTCTGCAGATGGAAGTCTCCAGCGTACATATGTATTGACGAGGTAATCTCTGTGTCAGAGGAGTGGTGCGCGGGGTGCGGGGCGAGCTGGTGCGGCGCGTGCGCAGTGGCGGCCGGCGCGGGGCTCGTGACGTCACACGTGGCGCTCCGCCTCGCCACGCTGCTGCTCGCGGGTGAGTCGCGCCGCGACACGTCACGACTTGCTCCTCTCCTCACACGCTATCGATGCTTCCTGTCCTTTCCAGATCTCGGTGAATCCTTGCTGCAATCCTGGCTAGCCGACCTGGCCGCGTGGCTGCGTAGCCAGGTCTTCGTTATATTCGAGCAGTTGTCGGAGCGAGACGACACTAGTTTCACCGGCACAGGAGTCGACACGCCTTTAAATGTGGACGAGACTTGTCGAGTCTTGTTGGAAAACACACCAGGTATGTTTATGTCACTTTAGTAAAAATAAATAACACTTTTAGAGCGGTATGCTAAATTTTATTGACATAATATTTTTATGGACCAACATCAACAGCCTTGAATAGTCCACTGTTGGACATAAGCCTCTCCTTAGAAAGGAGGTTTTGGCCTACTGTACCACGCTGGCCAGACGGGTTGGTATAGGGTTTGTTTCAAGTTTTCCTTCTCTTTGCAGTGCTGTTATCCTGGATAGTGACACTCCGTATTCTTAATCCGCCACCACATAATATATTTCGGTCACAGGTAGATCACAGCCGGTGTAATTCGGTCAAACCAAACAGTTTTAAGGTATTATATAAATATTATCGCAATAATTACATACATTTGCTTTCAGCTCTCCTAAACGTGTTTGGCGAAGAAACAGTGTCATCGGCGGCTAAACTGCTGGTGACCAGCTTCACTCACAAGGAAATCAACAAAGACATAATCTTTAGAGTCCTCGACCTCTTTGCTGGACACTTCAACATGGCTGCCGAACTAAAAAACCCAACTTTTGATAGTACCTAACTAAAATATGCGTAAAATTTATTATTTGTTAGCTGTTGTACGTAGTATCAATAGCTTTATGGTCACTGCTTCGCTAAGGGCCGTAACTGATGTTTTTTTTTTAATGGCATAGGAGGCAAATAAGCATACGGGTCAAATTATGGCAAGTGACTATCTCCGCTCAAGCATACCGATATGCGAAACAAAAGACACGTATGCGTTGCCTACCTTTTGAATGCTCCCCTCCAGAATAGGGTAGTTGACTGTATTATTAATAAATAACAATTTCGTTAAAACGAACATCGCAAAACATCTCGACGAATAAAATTATTGTAGCTTTTTATCATCATCATCATCATCATCTTTAATAGTCCACGGTGTGGTGACAGATTAAGAATACAGAGTGTCACCACCCCCAATCATTCCGTGGGTGTCGTAAGAGCCGACTAAGGGAGAAAACTACACAGGACAACAGCACGGCAGAGAGAAGAAAACTTGACACAATCCCTATACCAACCCGTCTGGCCAGCGTGGTATAGTAGGCCAAAACCTCCTTTCTAAGAAGAGGCCTATGTCCAGCTTTTTATAACTATTACGAATTTAAATGAAGTAAGCTTTGAAATATAATCTTCAACTAGCTGGTACCCGCGACCGCGTTCGCGTGCTAGCGCTGCTATACCCGACTGCAGTCCATGAGGCCTCGGGTATCGATGCCCGGACTGGTCACAATTTTATAGGGTTTTTCTGAGCATAAATTACTCTTTATATAGACAGCTATCTGGTAGTAAAATATTATCGAAATCGGTCCAGCTGTTTAGAAGATTACCCGGAACAAACAGTCAGACAGACAAAAAATATTTAAACTGGTGTTTAGGCATTGGTATCGTGCAAATAACCGTGTGAACATAAAAAAAGCCGTGTGGTGTCGTGGGACACCCGATAGGAACTAAGTTGTGACGAACGAGTAAAACTGATTCGACACGATTTTAATTACAACGCAATCTATGAAAGCGGCTATTACCTAGATATTTTTCAGTTGGTTTCTAATTAAAACAATTTATACATTGGTAAAATCTCGTTGAGAAATGATTTCCTATCTATTCGATAGATGGCGCTGAATGACTGACATAAAAAGTGTCGTTACAACTTTTCGTGAGAATTCTTTCCGTCTAGCCCCCTTTCACAACGCGCGATAAGGAACTTCGTTCCAATAAAACCTATTATTTTGACATTATAAACAGACACTTCAATTTTATTTATTTGTATAGAAAGATTGAGTAGTCTAAAATAGTGACGTCATAGGTTGCTATTTAGTACATTTGTCGTTTTAACATTTACAAAATTGTCGTTTTAACAGCTGATATAAAGTAAGCTGTCAACTCCCCTATTAGGGAGGAGGGGACGTAACCTCTCTCACTCAGTGAAGAATTGTTTCACACACACCAGTTTTCTGTGAGGCCCTGGTACCATTGGCGGATTAACCCTAAGGCAAAGTAGGCACGTGCTAGGGGCGGTTACAAAATAAATGCCTGACATTAAAACAACTGTTTCAGTAAGTATATACATACTTACACAATATAAACAATCTTTTTTTTTTTGTTTTTTTTTGTTACAAAGACAGCTCCCGCATTAGGAATATATATCCTGTGTCGCGGGGGACTTTACAAACATACATGAAACAGACACAAAGAACACCCAGACTCAGAACAACAATTTGTGGATCACACAAAGTGTCGTCCCATTTGGGGTTTGAACCCACAACACTCGGCGTAGTAGGAAGCGGCGTGGCGACCGCTTAAACCACTCCGCCATCCGTGCACCAATCCTTAATTTTATAGAGATGCTTAAGGTTGACATCCAAGATTTATATTACGTAGTTGTCACTTCTTTGCTTTCATTTTCTGATACCGGTTCATACACATGGTGGGAAATAGCCAGTGTCCTATCATCAACAGCTTTTAATAGTCCACTGCTGGACATAAGCCTCTCCTTAGAAAGGAGGTTTTGGCCTACTATACCACGCTGGCCAGACGGATTGGTATAGGGTTAGTGTCAAGGTATCCTTCTCTCTGCAGTGCTGTTGTTCTGCGTAGTTTTTTCCCTTAGTCGGCTCTTACGACACCCACGGGATGAATAGGGGTGGTGACACTCTGTATTCTTAATCCGTCACCACACAGTGTCCTATAACCTTAAGTAAAATTATCAAATCCAAAATGAAGATTTCAAATCGAATCAGAGAATAACGCGTTGAATTAATAATCATTTCCACTTTATCAGATTACTAGGTTTTGCTCGCGGCTCTGCCCGCGTGTATTTCGGTTATCGCGGTAAAAAATATCCTATGTTACTCGCTGATAATGTAGCTTTCCATTGGTGAAACAATTTTTGTAATCGGTTAAGTGGTTTAGGCGTGAAAGCGTAACAAACAAAGTCACTTTCACATGTCTAATATACTAGCTGTGCCCTGCCATGCGTAGCTGTGACATATTGTGGTTGCAAAAAATTTATAAAAACCATTTTTAAGCGGGTTGTATATCATGTCAAAATTTGAGCTTAATGGGTTCAGTAATAATAATAATAATAATATATCTCACACATCTCGCACTGATCCCAAACTCAGCAGAGCCTGTGCTATGGTAAACAGACTGCTGATAAACATACTTATATATTTCTAAATACATACATATTATAAATAAATTACACCCAGACACAGAACAAATGATCGTGCTCATCACACAATATTTTTCCTAGGTGGGAATCGAACCCACGACCTCCGGTTTAGCAGTCAGGGTCACTAACCACTATACCAACAGATCCGTTACCCTTTTATTCTGAATTGTTTCTGTTTCTTTATAATAAATATTGTTATAATATGTCCCTCAATTCAGTGTGCCTCTTGGCAAAGGCCTCCTATAGCTCCTTTCACTGGTTTCTGTCACGAGCCACTCTCCTCCATTGGGGCTCGCCGTTTGTTTGAGCTCATCTTCCCATCTTCTTTTCTGTTTCCCCTTACTACGTTTACTGTCCCTTGGATACCAGTCAGTTATTACTTAACAAACAAACCAACTTACAATATATATACATATATATATATGTGACGTCTACCAATAAGAATATCCTGGTTTAAAAATTTGAATAAAACACAATATTTTTATGAAAAATGCATCTGATTGATTTATTTGATAGACAATTTTATGCAATTTAGGTTTTAAATATTATATCAGCCAAATAACCGCCGCCGCGCTTTTTGCAGACGGTCACCCGCTAACACCAATTTTCGATGACGCGGTGCACCATTTCATTCACAGGAGCAGGGTTTCCTTCGTCATTTTGGACAATTTCCAAGCGTTGGTTTAAAGTGAAACGTGACATGATAAAATGGCATACCTTACTGAACACAAATGTCAAAAGACGTCAAAGATCCATCATCAAACATGGCCACTATGAGCTGTCAGAACCAGGTCATCCCTATTGGTAGACCCAGTATATATATATATATATACAGAATAGTTGATAAGCTTCTAGATTCTTGTTGTTTCTACTTCTTTTACTCATCAAGTTTTGACTGTCGCATTTTTATTAATGCGTTCGGTATTTACCTGTCGTTGTATATGTCACCGTAAAATAACAAGAACCGCAAATTTCTAATCCTAATCCTACGAAAGATTCTAAACGAGAGAAGAAAACCTAACCTAACCTAACCGGGTTGGGGGGTATTGAGCGAGCCCACCAGCTCGCCAAGGAGGCGGCTCTGGGACTGAAGAAAGCACCGGTCTCTAGAGTTCCGTAAGTTTATCAATTTGCGAAAAAGTGGGCGTGTAATAATACAATTTATATCTCGCTTAGAATCCTACGGGAAATTTATATATTTGCGGTTCTTGTTATTAACCGACTTCAAAAAGGAGGCGGTTCTCAATTCGATAGGTATTTTTTTTATGTATGTACACCGATTACTCTGAGATTTATGATCCGATTTACGTGATTCTTCTTTAGTTTGATGCGGAATAGTTGCCATTTGGTCCCATAAAAATTTAACATAGTTAGGCCCAGTAGTTTTCATTTTATGAACATTTTTAATGAATATTATTGTTTACTTGGATGATATAATTTTAGTTTCTGTACGGCCTTTGTAGGAGTTTACATTTAAGTTGATTATATATTATTTTACGGTGATATATATAAGTCTATACAATGACAATTCAAGTTAAAGTGAACGATTAATAAAATAAAACATTAACAGTACGCTGGAAACAGCAGAATGTTATGGACATCATATTATGTCTAACACCTGTACCTCAACAATATTCTGACAAATAAATATATTATTATTAAAATTTAATCAGTTGTGGTCAAAAATGTACCACCAAGAGATCTCTATCTAGTCTATGTCATTCCTTTCTAGTCTGTGTATTATTCAGATGAAAACCAAACTTATTTTTTAATTTTATTTTTAAGTGATACCAATAAAATTTTATTTGAAAACGAACAATTCTAAGTTCGCTTTTATTGATACATTAATTAATAAATATGTTTTAATAAATAAATTTAATAAAACTAGTAGTTAATATACCTTTGATGATTCATTTATTCCTTCGTTCATGAGAAGTTTTTGGAACGAAACCGTGTTTTTTTTTGTTATTAAGTTATAATTCAAGTATGTTGTGCAGAATCGATTCTACCCACAAACTAATTTCACTAATAAGAACAAATAATATCACATCACATCACATCAACAGCCTTTACTGGTCCACTGTTGGACATAGGCCTCTCCTTAGAAAGGAGGTTTTGGCCTACTATACCACGCTGGCCAGACGGGTTGGTATAGGGTTTGTGTCAAGTTTTCCTTCTCTTTGCAGTGCTGTTGTCCTGCGTAGTTTGCTCCCTTAGTCGGCTCTTACGACACCCATGGGATGAATAGGGGTGGTGACACTCCGTATTCTTAATCCTTCACCACACAAATAATATAATCAGTCCCAAATCAGAACAGCACTTAATAGTTTTTCTACAGAACTTCGATATCG